AAAAAAATTTAAAATATTAGAAAAGAATCCAAAAATTTAAAAAAATATTTATTTTTATTTTCTCTCATCTTCATTTTGTGTGTACTCGCAAATATCCTAATCGGATTTTTTTCACAAGGATAATCTGGAAAAAGCAAAAATGCATAAAAAAACACACAGCATACAAACATATTTTCATCATTTTATTCTTCTTGTTTTTTTTTTTTTATTTTCACACCTTTTCTCACCTGAGATTTTTTGGAATTATTTATTAGCTATTGCTTTTGTTTTTTTTTTTTCGAAAAAAGCGTATTTTGTTTGTTATTTTGTTTTAGATTTATTAAAAAGTGAAAATTCTACCAAAAAGGATTAAGCTCTTAGACAAACATTTATGACTAAAAGGCTTTACCTTTCTTAACTTTTTTCTACACGTTTTTTTTTCTTCTATTTTTACTTGATATTTTTCGATTTATTTTATTGTCAACCAATGTTTATTTAGAATAATAAAAAGAAACAAGAAAGAAAGTATGAAAATACAAATTCTTAAATAAAAAAAAAATTTGTACCAGGTGGTAAAATTAAATTATTAAAGTATGAAATTTCACGTTGAACAAATGAAATTTCTATTTGTCAATAAAATCACAATAGAAAAAATATTATACGAGTAATTTAATTAATAAACAGCCAATAATTGTTTTATTTCAACTAGTATTTTTGTATTATTATAAACTAAAATTATTGATTGCTAAAACTGCTAATTTAATCTAGAAAATATTCGAAATTAAAATTTACAGCTTAAAGATTTAAAAGAAATTCTAATTATTTAAATTTGAGAATGAGAGAAACTAAAAAAAATTTATTATAAATTATAATTGGAAAAGAAATCAAAAAAATAAATAATAATTTACAATTAATTTTTTATTATAAACGATATTTGAAATTTTACATAAAAATTACGAATATCTATGATGAATCAATTAAATCTATTGTGTTTTATAATTTATTAACACTCCCAGTATAGTGGTGACTTCTTCTTAAAACTGTATTTTCAAAACAAATTCTTATATATGAACTGATTATGGGTTTTATCTATGGTTTTGGTTAATTAAATTTACTATTAAATACAAATTATTACTAAACTTAATATTCGCTGTATATTCTGCGTATACTCCATACAACAAAATCAAAGACACTTTTAACTTTATTATACCGAAACATTGTAAAATTTTTTTTGAAATACAATATTAAAATTATATATTAGGGACTTACTATATGCAATTTGATTTTCGTGAACGGAAAAATGATAAAATAGCACCAATTAATTTGTATAATATTACCTTTCTCTTTTTACAAATACGAAAATGATCGAATTACATAGTAGGAACCCGGTTTACATAAAATTATTAATCGAAAACCTCCCAGAATTAATATAAAATCACAAATTTCAAAAAATTAGAAATATTCAACGAAAATATATTAAAATTTCAGAGTAAATTTTATTTTAATTTAAAAATAAAAATGCAAGGATAAAACTCTAAAGAAAAATAAATTCATCCAAAATGAAAAAAAAAAATGAAAGTTAAATAAAAAATCTGATTAAAAACTTATCAATCTCCCTATTAATTTTCTACTTTCCTTACATCCTTACAACAATAAAACAATTTTTATTTCACTCTATTGTGTTTTTTTTTCCTATTTTCTTTCTTCATCAAATCTTCAATCACCTGTAAATAAAATGTAATCCAATTTTATATCTTTTTTACTGATTTCTTTTCAATTTCTCTTTTAAAGTAAGTTCTTCTTTTTTTTTCAAAGAAAAATGTAAGAAAAATAAAAAATTTAAAATAATTTTTTTTTTTTAATTTAAAAAATGTTCCAGATGCATGAACTCAAATTTACACGAATTTTTTGTTCTTGTTTTTATTCAACTCTTATTTAATGTCCTGTCTGCAGCAAAATGCATCAAAACCACTTGAAGAAAGGATGTCTAACTTTTGATTACACCAAAAATATAAAATAACAAAAAAAGAAAATAACTACGAAATTAGAACGCAACGAAAAAATTGAATAAAAAAAAATTTAAAAGTTAAAAAAGGATAAAATACAAATCTAAGAACATGTTCTTTCCTTTTTCTATTGTGTGCTTATTTTTATGCTCCTTTTTTTTACATTGTTCCTTTAAAGAACATGTAAAAAAAATCCTCTATAAAAATTTACTAAATGTATACAAATTGCGCGAAATGCTTACCATTTTTTTTTTTTATTATTTTGTTCAAGTTTATTTTGTGTTTTGTGTGTTTGTACATATTGTGTATATATATGTGCCCATTTAAATATTTTTAACATATAAAATTTTCGGTCTATATAGAACATATTGTTCATGTACACGTGTACATTTATGTACTTTTACATATGCATATAAAATATACAAGAAAAAAAAATAAGAATTTGTTTTCGTAAATTTTCTTTTCCCTATAACAAATATAAAGATTTTTATATCTCTATTAGGAAACTTTCGTTCTAGCAAAAAAAAAAAAAAAAAATCGGTATAAAAAGCTATTCCGTTACTTTAAGAATATTTTAAGAATAAATTTGTTTTTCTTTTTTTTTTCAAACACCTTCTAGTTCTGTTTTTACGATAATAACAATGTCATAATTCTCTTTATATCGATCAGTAAACCTTTATTAGAATCGTAATTTTATGTATTTGATCTACGGACCATAAAAAATTTGAGAATGTTATGAATTTATGTAAAAATTTTGTTAAATACAATGTTGCTAACTTATATACAACAAAATTGCACTGATTAATCTGTTAGAAATTTTCATAGGTTTTTAAGTTTCAGTATTAAATTCAAATAATAAGGAACTCAATTATATTACAATTATATTACATTGTTTGCACTATATAAACTCTAAACCTTAAGGTAGTGATTCTCAAAGTGGTCTATATAGACCACTAGGGGTCTATGAAGACCCGCTAGAGGTCTACGAAAAAATCTGAATTTATTTAACTTTCTCACATCATAAATGTACCTTGCTACTAAATTAGCATGGGGTCTTATCAAAAATTGAAAAACACGACAAGGGGTCTACGAGAGAAATAAGTTTGGAAACCTCTGCCTTAAGGTATTGAAATTTTCTCTCTTGCGCTAATTTAAAGAATTAAAATTTTATTTGGTTCGCTTCAAAAATTTCCAAAATGAAATTGAAATTTACAGTCATTATGCAAAACATTAAAGAAACATTTATGAAAAACCAGAGTACGAATTTGCAATTTTTTTTATAACCTTTCATACTTAGATTACTACCTGAATTATTCGTACCCAATATATGCTACGTTTAGCAAGTCAAGCAACAAAATATTATTTCTCCTTGAATTTTCTACTCTCTAGTGGCATGCCATTTCAACTTCTTAATTAATTCATATTAGAGAAAGAGCGGTTATGCAGAAACATTTGAACACAAAATAATAGCAAAACAAACCTCAAACTAAAAATCATTTTTATAAAAATCATTTAATTTGAAAAAACAATTGGCTTTTTTGTAATACAGTCAAATTCTCTGGCATCAAAAAATATAAATTTTAAACATTAATGTTTGATTTTGTTTGTTTTAACGGAATCTTTCAAGCACCAATTTTAGAACTGTAATTTCTTCTCACATTTATACACATAGGTACTTTTTATACGAATAATATAGGAACCCTATTTCTATGAATTGCTTTAAATCAAATTTCAATCCATAAATTTAGCAAATGCTCATAACTCAAATTCTTGAAATTTTTTTCGACTTTAATCTTCTTTTGTTATTCTATTAAGGATTTCGAATTTTTTAACGTGTGTATGCTCAATCCCCATGGTTGTCTTGAAAATTATATATAGGGTAGGTAAAAAGGGGGAAATTTTTCTTAGTATTTCAATTCTCGACAATAAGTTTCTTGTTTTTTTTTGTATTTTTGGTATTTTTATTTTTTGTTTCGTTTATAATTTTTTTATTTTATTTTATTGCAGTGCAATTTAAATGTTTCATGAGATTTTGTTATTTTTGTATCGTTAAGCTCAAGCTAAAGTTTCCACAATCTTCTTACTTTTCACTTTGCATTTTCCACTTTACTTTTATTTTTTATTTTGTTTTAGAACAATTTTTTTTTTATTTTTTTTTACACTTTCTATGTTAATATTTTGCTTTCTTGTAGTAAAGACATTGTTCGTGTAGGAGAAAATCTTCAAGGATACAGTCGAATTATAGACGAAATAAAGTAATAAGAAATGTAAAAAAAAAATAAAGAAAATTTTTTTTCTTCTGCTGTGCAACAAAACAATAAAGACGAAAGAAAGAATAGACTTAATAAAAAAATTTTATATTTACCTTTTTTTTCTGTGTTACTTTAAACTTAACTTTTTTTCCATATATAAATAGATTAACATATACTCGTAACTGAAGGAAAAGAATTACATTTGGTTTTGTTGCTTTTCTCTGTTTATTTTCCTCCCTTCTTTTTATTTATTTTGGACATCACTTTTAAAACAATGGAAAAAAAACTGAGTACTTCCAAATTATCATGTCGCTGCAACATTACTGAAATTGAAATTTTTAAATATTTTAAAGTTTTATTTTTTAATAGTAATCACCGAAATGTACGAACGCACATGTGGAGGAAGCCTGAAAAATAAAACGATTCAATAGTATACCTTATTTTCGACTAGCCCTAGTAAAAGTAATCAAAGTAATGACTTTGATTTCGCTTATAGTGCTATAACAGCAAGAGAGTACGTAAAAATAATTGTTAAAATTAGATTTGAAACCAAACAAATAAAGAACTAATTATTGTATATACCAAAAAATTCAAAAATACTCGATTACCCTACTTACACTTGAACCAATTTGAGAGAATACTTATCTTTTAAACCAGAGTGCTTTTAAATCGTACTTAAATTTTATGTTTATATAATCTACATGCTTAACCCGTTATTTCAATATTAAAAAATAATTATTTAATTTTTTTGTAAATTTTTTAGAACGCATCAGCTGCATTACAGAATCAAGATTTTCAAATACAATCACCAGCTTCTGGTTCACCGTTACCGGTTAGCGGTGGTGCGGATGCAACACAAAATGCAGTTACACAAAATAATACACAAGTTGGTGTTGGTGGACCAAATACAGTTCTAAGAGTAATTGTAGAATCGCTTTTATATCCAGTTTCATTGGACATACTACATCAAATATTTCAACGTTTCGGCAAAGTATTGAAAATTGTAACATTTACTAAAAACAATTCATTCCAAGTAAGTAAAATTAAACTATATACTTTAATAATAAATTTATTATTTCATTTAATTAAAATTTAAAAAAAATATATATTTTTAAGGCTCTTATACAATATCCGGATGCTCAAGCTGCCCAACATGCTAAAGCTATATTGGATGGACAAAATATTTATAATGGTTGTTGTACATTACGTATTGACAATAGCAAATTAACAGCATTAAATGTTAAATATAATAATGATAAATCAAGAGATTTTACAAATCCATCTTTACCGCCGGGTGAACCAGGTGCTGATGTTATACCAGGAGCTGGGGGTTTGGTTAATACAAATGATTTATTATTGATAGCAGCCAGGCAAGCTAGACCTGCTCTTACAGGTGATAAATTAGGTAACCTTATCATTTTTTTCATTTTTATTTTCTTAACGCGTATAAAAACCCTACTAATATTGACCTGTTATCTCAACCGGTTACTTCATGTACATAATATACATGGGCTAATTCAATATAAATGTAGGCTAATATTTATTATTGCCTTGAAAATTTTACATTCATAATAAATTTTAATTATTAAAACTAATATAAAACTGAAAAAAAAAATTGGAGTCTTGAAACAGATAACTGAACGTTTGTAAAAATCATTTTTCTCAATTTGAATATTAAAATTTTAATGTCCGATATTCGAAAAAGAGCATTAACAAAATGTTATTCAACACTGAGGTATGTTACTTTACAAAATAATGTTTGTGTTTCCTGTAAACACATTTATGAACATTTTTTTATTTTTGATTTATTTTTTTTTTTGTGTTTTTCGAAAATCAACTCGTTTATTAAAGAAATCTTCAAAAATTTTTTCCGAAAATTTATAATTCCGAAAACTTTTAAACTATTGCTTTCTTCTCAAATCTATTTACATTTTTGGTTTTTTTCAATGTTTACTTTTTTTTTAAGTTTTTAAATAATTTTAATTTTTTATATCAAACAAATTTATTACATGTAAAAATTTTGTAGTCACCCGTGTTCTATATTCTACATCGGATAAAATATGAATTTCATTTGGAAATTATTTTTATAACATCTGTGGTGTTCACCTGAAGACGAATTCTTTTAAAAATTTGAACATTGGCAATTGTTATGGTATTAACATTTGTAAGAGGTTCAAGTAACATTTTAAGGCTTAAGCAGACCAGTATTTTCGTTGATATTGAAGATTAATTTAACTAAATTTATTTGAAATTACACCAAGGTGCTTACAAAAACTTGAACCTTTTCTTCACCTCTAATTAATTCTAATAAAGGAAGCAGGCCTTAAACATGACTTTTTTTTTTAATTATCTTAACATTTTAGAGAAGGCTAAATATTTTTTCAAAAGTAATTGATATAAAGTAAAATGATTTCAAAATTCACAATGCGTCTAATTTTAAAAACAAAGTCATTTTCTTTACGTATTTAAAATTTACCAACAATCTTCAATTCGATTGAAATATAGAACATAGAAGTGCTTGTTTTCAAAATTAATTAAATTACAATATTTAATTTTAAAAAACTTGTTTTAACATTATTTTGAAATTCAATTGTATTTAAATTTATCTACTTATATTTACAAATAATAAAATTTCTGAATGTAATAAATTTGTTATTGTAAAATATTTATTTTGAATTTATAATATACATTTATTAATAGATATTAATTATTTTCTATCCCGTTTAGCTATTAATGGGTTAGCTGCACCCGGAGTTTTACCACCATTTCCATTAGGTATCGGTACACCATTAACTGGTGCATATAATAGTGGTTTACCAAGTTTAAATGCATTTGCATTAGCTGCCAATACTGGTGCTTTAGGTGTGGCATCACCGGCCGCTCTAAGAGGTTTTTCAAACGTTTTACTTGTATCAAATCTAAATGAAGAGGTAAGTTATACAATAAATTAATATATTTTTATGTCATCTGCTTTAAATTTTATTTCTTGTATAAAATTACATAAATTAAAATCTATTTAATATGTATAATAATTAAGAACAAAAATATATATATATTAAAAATAATTTACACAAAATATGGCTATAGAATATTTTTTTTTAATAACATACGCAAATAGTTTTCAATCCTATTTCAATAATATAATTAATATATAAATATGTAATACGTAAGTAGGAAAAAATTATTGTTTTAAATTTTATGCAATTCATAATATCAACTTCTTCTATAATAATAATAAATAAGAATTATTTGTATTTGGTCATAATTTACATTATTTTATGAAATTTTTTTTCATTTATGTAAATTTATGTGTTTCTCCTATTAATTTTTTACATAAATTTAGTTTCTTCTAAATTTATTTACTTTAGATAAAATAACGCTTTATAAGTAATTATAAAATTTACAACTCCTTTTCCCATAGAGTTCATAAAAAACTGTATACGAAGTTTCTTCTACAATCTTTCCCGTTGTATGTTTGTTATTCTTTCCCTATTAATTTTTACATGAAATTATTTTTAATATTTAAATTAGCAATTAGTGTATGATTTTCTATTTGAGTGAGACTTTCGATTTGCCAAATCTTTTAAAAATTTTCATTAAAATCACATTACAATAATTATTTGAAATCTAATCTCTCAACTGAATGTTCTGCCTTTTTTTGTAAAAATAAAATCTTAATTTGGTAATTTAACTATGTTTTTTTCTAAGCAATAAATTATAAAATTTATTAACAAAATATTAAATATTCAGTAATAAATTATTCCGAACCAAATATGCATAACAAATTTCGAGGTTTTATCTTTATCTGTTGTTACATTTTTGTCACCAAATGAATTCTATCAAAATAAGTTGTAGAATCCGTTAAGAAGAAGGCTATAGAGACCAATATTACAGTTCTTAAGCAGAGAAAATTAAGTAAAAAATCGTCATTAACATAAAAACTGTAATATTAAGTACATATCCGTAATTCAATCAAGCTAATAATTTTCATTAAGGGTTTCATTCATATTGAAATTTATGAAAGTATTCGTAGAAATAATTCAATTCATATGAGTTCATTCTTAGGGAATTATTTAATAAAACTCAAAATACGCATGAAAGGAAAAGTCTGTCTTACTCTTTACAGTTAAACTATTTAGTTTTTTTTTCCTGAATTTTTCTATCACATTATTTTTATGAAGTTATACAATTTATTAGAATATACCACCTTATAAATTGTCTTGTTTTAAATTAAGAAACCACCAGTTCAGAGAAAATAAAAATTCAAAACACAAAAATTCAAATCAAAATTTTTTTACTTCCTACTTTTTACAATTCTTTTGTTTTTTTTTATGAAAAATGACGAAACCTTGAAAAATGCCACTTAAAAATAGCCTAAAAAATTTCGTTAATGTTGAGCAGCATAAAAATTTCAACAAGTAACAATGTATGTATTCTTAGTAAGAATGTATGAGTAATTTAAGGGTACCTTCGTTAAATTTTCTTTTATGCTTTAATTTTTCTTAATTTATGAACGTCCTTAAGAACAAAAACAAAAACTTTGTTATTTTATTCTTATCAATTTACCCTTTTCCTTATTTATAAGAGAGAAAAAAAAAACAAAGTTAAGAGCGGTAATAAAAATCGCATTTTTTTTAGCTATTTTTAATTTTTTTAAAGTACTTAACTAGAAAAAAAAAATCTTCTGCGAAGCCGGTAAGAGCCTAGAAAATCCTAGAAAAACAAAGAGATCAAAATTTTTTATTTTGTCATTATATATTTATATGTATGTAAATATGTATATGAAGTAAATACGAAATTATTTTTTTATTTTTTTAAATTTTCTTTCACAAAATAATTTTAATGTTCAGTAATTTTTTTTTTTTGTTTCTTCCGTGAAAATTTTTCTTTTGTTTAAAAGAGTTTTTCATTATATGATTTTTCTTAGATAAAAAAAGAAAATCTATTGTAGGTTTATTTGAAAGAAATTTTTGGGCTGAAATTTATATCGCTCTTCTTTATCAAAAAATTAATACACATAAACGTATGTATTGTGTATTTTATTAAAAATTAAATATAGCAAAATAAATATAATTTAAAATTTAAACTAAAGTCTTTAAGGTCAATTCAGTATTTTTATTAAAATCGATAACTAAATTTTTTTGAAATAATTTGTTTTTAGTCACGTAATTAAGTAAAGTTTTTTTTAGTCACGTTTATAAGAAATAAGCCGATAGAATATAACAATTAAAGTCAAGTTTGTTTAACAAATATTGTTAACCTGCATTTCCTTCAACTTAATAGTTATACCCTTTCGTTATAGTGTAATTAAAATTTTGGAAGTCGTCTACTGCTTTAATTACACGTTTTATATTCTGACTCTGTTACAAGTATAAGTATATAATATATATACTTACGTTTGATATGTTACATGAGCATAACATATACTCCATTTTTTTAATCCATATAATGGGTACATTCCTTGATATATTGCACTCTAAACATATAACACACGTAATTACATCATTCTATATATTTTCATATGCTAAAAATTAATATTGCATTGTACATATATAATATTTATTAATTCTTTGAATAAGTTTATTACGAAAATTACTCAAATATTGAATTTAATTATAATAATGCCCCTAAATATTGAAATAATCGTAAATTTAATTTTCAAACCTCAATGAGCTATTCAATTACAATATATTTCTTGTCGAAATATTGAATAATAGAAAATTCAAATTATCTGTTTTTTTTATCTTAAAAATATATTTTTTATGTAAAAGTACATTTATTAATATTAATCAAGAATGTTTATTAAAACTAAGGAAGGTAAAATTTTATAAATTATTTCCAAATATTTATTTTATAGAATGCCTATATTCTTATTTATTATATAATTACATCATATGCACATATTTATTTATTAACTAAAATATTAATATCCTGTATTTACATTATAACTAAGTGTATTATAGTCAGATAACTTACTTAGATTCATATTTATTCAAGTTGAAAAATTCAAATGCAAATTAAAAGTTTTAATTAAATAGTTTGTATTACATAAGTATGTAATACAAACTATTAAAACACATGTTAACAAAAGATATGCCACTGTGCATTAAGAGTAAGTTACGGAATTTATTAATACATAATATTCATATATGCATTTAAGATTTACAAGATTACTCTTAATAATTCAATTTTAATTAATTATCTGAAAATTGATGAATAATATATACGTTATATGTACTTTTGTATATGTAAAAATATTGTAAAAATTGTGTTAGAAATGAAGAAATTCTTTTGAGTAAAAATAAATAATTATATTCAGCTTCGTTTGCACCTAATTATTCACTCCATATGCAGAATATTTTTAATTCATTGAAAAAAAAATTAATTTATTAAATATAAAAGCCTATCACATTGAAAATTCATAGTATATTTTTATCAGTTTACACAATACAAACAGCGAAATATGTAAAACAAATAGTGAAGACTAGTAACTGTAAAATGTTAGCTATTGGTTAACATGTTGTAATTTTTTTGTCTCAGCATTATTGTATAATTAATTGCAGAGTTTTGCAGCTATATCAAACTTTCTTTATTACATGATTTAAGTATAAAGCCCTAAAACAAAAAATAATTTAAAAATGACTCAATTTTCGTAGAGTAAACTACGCCACCACGTTACCCAATTAATCGCCACGTTACAATACCCAATTTTATTATTAAAATTAATTTAGCGAAAGAAGATCCAAACATTCTGGTTGAAAATTACATGCTTTCGTTGGAATTTTAAAATATTTCAGAGAATTGGAAACAAAATTTAGTTATCGAAACAAAACATCTATATTGATTTGAAAATTAGAATTTGTATTATATTGTTGGCCTTTCAGATTTTATAACTGTATTTCAAAAAAGTGATATAAATTTCCAGAGTCAAAGTAAGCTTTCTTAGAATCTACTTTTGCTAGATTTTTAAACCTTTAATTTTAATCTTTTTTATTATTTTTGTTTAATAATTTTGTGAAAATTTTATTTTTAAGAATATTTTTTTTTTAATATTTGTTATATTTTAAGTACTTGTGTGCGTCTTTGTCTTGTTTTTTTCTTTTTTTTTTTTTTGCATTATTTTCCATTTTATTTTTCCCTAAATTAAACTTTTATTTTCCAAATTTTGTAAATTAGAAAAATTCTCTTTCAGAAACAAAAACATTTCTAAAATTGAAACTTTTCCTCTTTATATTCTTTAATATTTTAATTAATATCATTAAAATTTAATTGAATTAAATAAAATGAAAAATGGAAAGAAAACAACAAAAAAGACAAAATTCACCATATTTTAAATTTGAATCATAAAATTTGCTAAGAAATCGTTAAAATACAAAAATCAGAAATAAAATAATTAAAAAATTTGATGATTAATCTAAAATAATCAAAAACTAAATTAATTTTAAAATTAATGAAAATTGTGGGAACCAGAAACTATGAGTTTTTATTTAAATATTTCATTCAAATAAAAATTGGAAAATTAATTTCTAGCAAAATTAAAAGTGCGACAAAATTATTCAATTAATATTGTAATTAGTATACGAGATGGTAATTATTAAATAATTCAGTTTTTAAATAAAATCATAGAAAACAAGTTAAAATTTAATTCGTATATAGGCCGAACAACACCGGCCTATGCGATATTTTAATAAAATCTGCATTTGATCTTATTTTTTTGCCATAAAATTAGAGATAGAATTCATTTTTTTTATTGGAAAATTGTGTTGACTAAGTAAGTAGATTTTATGAAAACAGTATTGCCATTTCCTATAACATTTAAAAATTAATTTCGTATAATTTTGTAAATTATATTTAATAGAAAAATAAGACAAAATGCTTAAACCTATTTTTGAAATAAAGTCATAAATCTATATTTGACGATTTATGATTTTACATTATTTATTTTCTTTCATTCCATTAAGAAAATTCTAATAGCCTGATTACTTTTTTATTCACTTTCAAATCAGAATTCTCAGTACTTTCTAATGGATATTTCACATTTCCAATAAGATTACTCAATTTTTCAATTGGATTTTTGCTTTTTTTCTCAAATTATCGATTATACGTCTCACTTTCAAAAACAAAGTAAATAAATTTGGTAGGCATTCTAGAAAAAAACGAGATACGTAATACCAAATAATTCTTCTCACTTGAAATTTACAATATACAAGTATGTAAATGATATATACTCAATTTCCGAGTAAAATTACGAGTTAAACGATCAGGCCCTAATAGTATTGAAACTGATGAGAAAGTGATGATAATATGATGATTTAGAAATGACATTTTAAGTAAGAGAAGAATATATTCAAATTTTTAAATAAATTTTAATAGTTACCATTATTACGAATATACAAAATCAGGATTGTGCCATTTTAAATCTAAAATGTCGAATACCATTATTTTTAATCTCGCATTAAATTTCTTAATATTATTGTCATATTAAAATTGCTAAATTTGAGATTTTTTTTAAAACAAAATTAATGAAATATTTGAATGAGTGTTGACTGATTATTCATACGCTTATACAAACAAAATATTATTAATTTTTATTAAGAAATACGTGTACGAATACAAGAAAGACTAATCACTTTAGAGTGAGTTTTTTTTAATTCAAATAACGAGTCATCAATTATATATTTATATATTAATTTATAAATTCATTTTTAGCATTCTCGTTTCAAATAACTTTGAACGATCAAATTTTTTATATATTTACTATAATTTTATATATATATATACATTATATACATATATAACATTTTATTTTTATTTTATCTTATGTAATTTATTTATTTAATAAAAAAAACTATAATAATTAAATCAAAAAAATAAAAATAATAATAATTAAATCATCTTGAAAATGATAATAAATTAAAAAAAAGAAAAAACAAACAAAAAAAAAAATAATATTTAATTTATTACTCTGCTAATTTTTTATACTGATCTACTATTTTCTCTTTTTTTTCTGTAGATGGTCACGCCTGATGCTCTATTTACCCTCTTTGGTACGTCTGCACACATATTTTAATACTATTTTTTAAATTTATTTAATTTTTATTTAATTTATTTAATTTAATATAAAATATTTCAAAAATAATAATTTTTACAATTTAGATTATTGTTTTTGTTGTTTTTTTTTTAATAATATTTATTTTTCATCTTACTATTTATGCATTTTTTTTTAAATACTTTCTAAAATGATAAATGAATTTATATTATAAAAAATATACATTAAAATATATATAGTGTAGGATTCTTCGCTTATGTACAAAATATACAAAATATTATTAGTATAAAAGATAATTTAATATAAACAATATAAAAAAAAATACATGATTGTGTATGTTTTTTTTTAATAATCATTTTTTCTACACTTTTTTTCTGTGTGTGTTATTTTTAATCTATACAATATTTTCAATTATATATTTTTTTTCATTTGATTTTTAATTTAGACTAAGATATTTTTATTATTTAAAATGAAATTGAAATTATTGAATTATTTTTCAAATTACTAAACAATTTTTTATAAAATATAATAAAAATAAAATATAAAAACAAAATGTTAAAAAAAAAAATTTCAGAAAAATGTTACGGGAAAATGAATAAATTATGCTTTCTTTTAAGCAATTCACAAAAAATCAATCTCTTTAGAACGCACATATTCAATGTTTTGTGTTTAAATTTAAGATTAGGAATCAACAATCAATTTTGTCTTTAATTAGATTTTTATACAATAGTTTTTGATTTGTAAGAAATCAGAACTTAAAAATTAACATAAATTTTGTTTAAATACCGACTGGGTCTTAACTAATTTATGACAGGTAGAAATGTTGAATTCGTACTTGATACGAGTAATTGAATTTAATTGAACTACATAACAATGTTTAGTAAAACATTGATATGTAGGTATGGATGATATAACCATTATTGAAGTTCTCTAATCTTATATAATATACTCGTAAATAATTAAATTTTGCCCATTTTGCAACATTTTTGATTATACAATATAAAAATTAAAGTTTAAGTAAAATTTAAATGCAAAAATTTTCTGCAGTACGACTACCAACCCTTATTACAAGATTGTCTTTTGTGTTGTAACAATATTTACATGTCCTGTTATAAATTTTTATTTGATATAGAATATTATTTTGCTAATATAGAATTATTTCATATGATTATTTAGGATCTGCCTTTTTAGTAAAATGGATAGAACACTTCTTAAAATTACTTCTTTTCTTAAATTCTTCCTTCTCAATGACGAGGTAAAAATTGCCAAAAAAATTCCTAGTTTCAGCACAAGGGGCACCATGCTTGCTTGTATAACATGCATCCTCATAACAATCTCAACATATTTAACAATTTTTAAGCAGTGAAAAGAAATTAAATAAACACTTTTTGCAAATTTTTTTCCAGTGCAGCAAATAACACAAAAAAAAACCCATTTTAAATAAAAATTCTTTCGTCATTTCAAAATATCAAATAAATATTTATTGAAACAATTTCCAATCAGGTTAATTCCATTATGTGCAAAATTAAATTTAAAGTTTTATTTAAAAAAAAAAAAAAAATAAAAAAAATATATGCATATTTTTATATTTGAAATGACCATTGAAATAATCCCTAAGCCAATTTAATAATAAACTTTTTTTTTCGAATCGAAAACTCAAAAAAAAAAAAATGTTGGGGTTATAAATGCCCTTGCATGGTGATTTTATACCACCCAAATTTAGGCTACATTTACATTACAATTTTACGAATATTTTTATAGTCTGTTTTTTTTTATACTTAACACCGATTATTATTTAATTTTATTTATTTATAAATAAAAAAAATACCGGAATGAACATTTTTATTTCCGTATTTTTCATTTGTATACGTATATTTTTTATTTAATTTTCTAGAATTTTCTCATAAACAATTTGTGTTTTTCAATTAAACAATACAAAAATTCAAATTTAGTTTATGACTAAATTAAATTTATTAAAAAACAAGAAGTTTTACATTTCAAAAATACGAAAATAAAATTTGTGTCTTACTTTATTCATGTATTTTTACTTCAAATTATTTTAAATGTACGATATGCGATAATTACTTTGAACTTAGCAATACCAGGCATTATAGTTACACGACCGAATACATTTAGGATATGACAATCTTTAAAAGCATTTTACTTTCTCAGTTCGAATATTTTGTTAAGATTTTTAAAATTAATTTTAAAAATAAATGCAGTCTTTATTTGCTCATAAACGCAAATAAAATATCTAATCTAATAACAATTAAATATAAACTAGCTACAGACATATGATAAATGAGCCGAATTTGTACAGGCTTAATAAAAATGTGAAGTCAGTTGCTTGGGTTTACCCATTGTTGACGTAATAACAATAAAAGACATTATAATTTTTGTGATCTTCGGAATCAAAAACTAGATATTATAATCTGTCGAAATTCAAAATTTTAGATATCAAACACCCAAAAATTGAAACTTAGTCCGTATAGACAAAATTTGAAATATTTTAAATGCATAAATTAATTATTTAATCATTTGATTATTTTTTATAATTCATTGAATATCCTTGTATAGATTTAATAAGCAAAAACAAAAAAAACCAATAATAAATAAATAAATAAATAAATATTATTTTAAATAATAAAAAAATCAATCGTATATGTTAATTAATTTATATAAAAGCAAATATTTGAATTCATAAATTTTTAAAATAAATAAATAAATATTAATAAAAGGAACTGTGAACACCTGTTATGTCAACAGAAAACCAGAAAAAAAGCAATAATATTAATAATTAATAAATAGTTTTTGAAATGACGTTTTACATTTTATATTTTACGGCATAAAATTTGTTATACACGCATTATAATTATGACATTTTATGTTCATTACATATTTATTATCATTTTTATTTTTAAACACATGTTGAATTCCCACAACATTTCGCGAAAAAAAAAGAAACAAACACGAAAATAATATTAAATGGAATTTATGCCAAAAAATTATTACAACAGCTACATTTTTAATAATTAATTTTATAAATACATATGTATATTAATTATATACAATAATTGCCTCACATAATAATGTATAAACAAATATTATGAAATTATACTTTCATATCCTCTATTAAGCTATCAATAATCTCTTTATTATAGACAGAATGATATTGTAAATACATAAATGCATACATAATTTGCAATATGAAAAATAATGAAATATGCATCAGGTAGAAAACAAGGATCTTAGTTAATTGGTGCACCGTATTTTTTTTATTAATATCAGCATTATTATTAATATCAGCAGCAGCATATATGTATAAGTAATATGTAAAATGAAGAAATATATTCATACTTGCGGAACTTAAATAAATTGAATAAATGCATGGAAAATATACTGGAAAATATTCATAGAGTTCTTAATTGTTTGCACATGTAAAAAAAGACATGAAACTTTATTTTTCAAAGTATATTTTATTTTTGATTTTGAATATTCTTATTCATTTTATAAGCAGACCAATAAATATGGTAGAATTTAATTAATTAATTTTTTTTATAATTTTATTTCATAAAGGCTAGTTTATTAAAGCTGAGAAAGCTGAATGAAAATATTCATTTGCTACTACTTTTTATTAAAATATAAAATTTTGCATATATTAAGGGGTTATCCAAATATTCAAAATTTTTAAAATTTGCTAATTTGAAATACTATGTACTTAATTACATTATCTTTGTGTAATGTGTAAATTTTTCAGTAAATAAAATTTACAAAATAATTGATTGAATTGGTGGTAATGTGAGTTCTGCGAGTCATAAAATTCCTTATCAATATTGTTACCAATTCATGTTGGTTATCACTTTTATAACCTCAAAGCCATTAAACTAATGAACAAAATGTTTGTCAAATTAATGACATCTTTATATAAACTTGATTGTAGGTGTGTTATATTTAATTAGTATGTCTTTTGTGTGGTTTTAAACTTTGAAATGTAATTATTATTTTTATTAATATTTTTTAAGATTAAAAATATTTAATGTTTCAATAAAATAAATTTTTCCATTTCGTGGTATCTACGAATAAAAATTAGAGAAAATTTTTTAATAAGTAAATTTATAAAATTCTTAGTAAAATGGGTGAATACATGAAACGTCAATTAGAGTCAATAATTTTTAAGTTGGCTGCTATATAACAGAAAATCTCACTAAATTATTTTTTCGTTTTGACTTTTACATTTAACTGCCACTTTCTTAATTAACTTACAAATTATAATTTTAATTTACATCACAAGTAAAATAACTACAATGCGAAAATTTTTTTATAGTTTCCAAAGTACTGTCAATATTATTAATGCATACACAGTAATATTCTACAATTGCACGAATTTATATAATTGTGTACATGAATATGTAAATAATTATGACTTAATTGTAATTTATTTAATTATGTATATATACATAATTATATGTTATATTATATTTATTATACTAAGTAAATTTTGTGGAAAATTACCTTTGAGCAGTTAAATATGAATATAAGTAAATTTTAATCTCAATTTCTAGTTCAAGCGAAAAACATGGCTATTAAATATTCATAAAAGGTAGGCATATTAAAATATAGTTATACATAATGTATAATAGTAATAATAATATAAGGATAACGATAATAATGACAATAATAATAATAAATTAGTTATTCCTTTTTTATTATATTATTTCACTGTTGTAATTTTGCAAATCAAATTTGTTTCTTTAATTTCCCTTACTTCGTTTATTTGTCAAAATAATTCTACATATAATGTTACGGGTATTTTATTAATATTATATAATACCTTTATACACTTACATATATGTGCATATTATATGTATATGTGTATTACGCTTTTATTATTTGTAATAAATAAAAAAAAAAATATTTTCTTTTTTATTTTTCTTAAGAAAAGTATAGTCCAAAAGATACAAAAGTCATCATTTTCTTTATTATCTTTATAAAATAAAC